ACACATAATATGTGTCAGCTCTTTTGCCAACGGTAAATAAGGTTATTCAAAAATAATGTGGGGCTTACCTGCTTTAGCAATCCGCAAGCTTGCATTTTTCCCCATTTCCATTTTTATTTCCGTACTTATTTAAAGTTTTTATTTCATGCGCATGGGAGCGAAACAGACACGCTCTGTGTATTTTTCTCAAATTAACTTAGAACAGTTCTTAAATATTGCTCTGTTATCTATCACGCTTTCCTGTGCTCACAAGATTACCAGCGTTCGTAACACGTATTTCTATGCATTCCTGTGTTGACAACGGCATTATTCCAAAATCCCGTACATTCTCCTTCCTCCTTATTTGCTGGAGATACAGTAGCTTTTGTTAAATACAATTGGTCACTTGCATCTGTAACACACATTCCTATAGAGTGGTATAGAATTACAGAGAATCTCTTGTGACACTGAAGTATTAGTGTATCGTAGTACGTAGGCTGCATATTCGAAACGTATTAAAATACAAAATATGAAAACCCGTCCCGAGCGCACACAACACAGTTCCAGGGTCACCTGGCGTACCACCTGGCGGCACTCCGCATACCACTGCTGGTACGCATACCACAGTTTGAGAACCACTGCTATATTATATGTAATGTGTAATTGGAAAGAAGTTCAATAAATGAGAAGAGCAGCCAGCAACATAGTCCTTGCCTCCCGTTATTTTGTTTCTTTTAGTAGTTTGTGTTATAGCACATACACGACAAAGCTATTTGTGGGGAATCAAACAGAATAATCTTTAAGAGAGAAGAACTTCTCAGCATCAGAGATTCCATTCCACATAATGTAAGTTTTTTTTTCCCTTCAATCAAAATTTTTGATGTGTTAATCAGGGCCGCAGTTCTGTCTCAAGTTGCACGACTCAGGATTAGGGGCAAGTGAGGGGGGCCAAGTACGGTTTCGTCGGAGAGGAACGCAAACACCTCTCCCCGGGATCATCCTCTGAAACTTCTGCTCTCTGAATAATAAGCTGGATGAATTGAGGCTCCTGATCAAGAAAAAAAGGATTTTTCCCTTTCATCTATTTTCTGTTTTTCTGAGACATGGCTCAATGAGCTGATCCTGGACAATGTGCTGCAACTGCCAGGTTTTCAATTCTATAGAGCGGACTGGGAATCGGAGTCATCAGGGAAATCTAGGGGAGGGAGAATTTGCTTCTATATAAACAAAGGCTGGTTTAAGGATGTAACAGTGTTATTAAAATCATGCTCTTGTGACCTAGAATCACTTATTATTAACTGCAAACCTTTTTATTCCCCTTGTGAATTCACCTCTTTAATTCTGATCAGCGTATATATTCCACCACAAACTTGTGTGCGCAAGGCAGAGCAAAAACTTGAAGATCAGAAAATCAGGATGGAACAAACACATCTAATTCTCCTTCTATAATTTTGGGGGACTTTAACAAAGCAAACATGACTCAGGAACTCCCCAAATACAGACAGCACATTATGTCCGCTATTAGGGATTAGAGTACATTAGATCATTGCTACACAACAATAAAAGACTCATACCGCTCCATTCCACGAGCAGCTCTGGGACATTCCAATCACATGTTGGTCCACCTTATACCGTTATATAAACAAAAACTAAGATCTGCTAAACCTACTGCTATTACGGTTAAGCGAAACCATAGTAGAGCTACAGAGCTGTTAAGAATGCACAGACTAGGACATTTATAAATATGCAACGAACAGGCTGGATGAATATATGGACACTGAGATGTCATTCATCAGTTTTTGTGAGGACAGTTGTATCCCCACAAAGACTCGTTTTAGATATAATAATGGCAAACCCTGGTTTACATTGGAACTTAGCCCTTTCCACCCCCGCCCCCAAATGGAGGGTTTAGGTCAATGACCTCCTGGAATTGATGTACTCTTTAATATTTTGAAATATCTTGGAAAGCATAAACAGCAACGACTTGGTTAGGGCCTTGAATTAAAGAGAACACCCTAGAGATACTTCGAGTATGTCTTAGAACACACACCAGACATAAATATCAAAAAGAAAAACTGGAAAAAATAGCAAACACATTTTATTGTCCTTCTTCAAAAGGCAATATCTCAAGAGACCACTTAGAATTTCCAATATGATTCTCCCAAATTCAGTTTTGCAGTGCTTTATACCTTTCAGAGGGTCTTTTATTGGTGCTGCTGTAGTAGAGAATTGACATAATCACACATGTGACCAATTGTGATGGATGTTTCTGGTTAATAATAATAAATCAAGAGCAACCAACGCCCTCGCTTGTTGGTTTGAGTATTTTTCATAGTGCTCTTCCTCAGCTTCAGTTATTTGATGATCAAGGAGACCTGAGAATGAGTCTGAATAAAACAAGAACACAGTTACTCTAATATTTCACTGTCCTCTTGTGTACAAGAAATCTATTTTCTTCCTTATTCAGTTTTTCAGTTTTTCAGTTTAATGAGACGCTTCCTACATCACAAGTAGACAACAGCAATTTTGTCCCTGACATTTCACAAAGAAAAACACAGGTGTCTTTTCATATTAGTTTTTACTAAAAAAAAAAGGTGAAAAAATGATCATGAACTGTACAAAATAAAATTCTATTTACATAAAAACAAAACATAACACGGAACAAACAGAAGACAAAGTACACCAGAGCAAAGCAGTTTGTATAAAAATAAGTACTACTTTTTCATCCGCAGGTGCCATTCCTTAAAACAGTTTCTGTCTACAATAAGACACAAGGAAATGTTGCATTTCTCACACCTCCAGGGGGTTTTCACTTTCTGTTTCTTCTCCATGCACAGAGCACACACCCGGCGCCCTGTCGAGGCCTTCCTAGAGGGGTCTAACACCAGCCCCTCTGTGATGGCAGAAGGCAGACACATCTCTGTAGGGCTCGCTGTCCCCCCTTGCTGCTCCTCAGCCCCCAGGCTGGCAAGTTGTCTGCACAGCTGCTCCCTGAAAGCTTTGTGAGTCAGAGCCTGAGAGCTTTGCAGCCCCGCCATCTCTTTGTGCAGCAAGAAGCTGTTCACCACAGCAATGTCTATGAAGTGAAAGAACACCTTTTTGTACCACTTTCTGGTCTTGTGTGCTAAATTGTAGTTCTTGATCAGGGCATCTGACAGATCCACCCCTGCCATGTGCTGATTGTAGGCCTTGACGGGGGCAGGGACAGGCACAGCCTGCATATGCCAAGTCCCATCAGGCCTTCTCACCTTGCGCTGGACCGTGTCTCCTATGTGCGCCTTGTGGATGGTGCTACACATCGTCACCTCGTGGGTGTCCATCCACTTGGTAAACAGCAGCTCGTCACATCTGATCCAGCGCAGGCACCCTGTCTCAGCCTTTTTTGGGAGAGTGTTCTCCTTTGTGCTGGGGAACCCTGGATGGTTCTCCCTAATTGTGCCACAGGCGCCAAATTTCAGTCTGTAGAGGTCACGGAAAAGGGCTGAACCAGAGTAAAAACTGTCAACATAAACATGATACCCCATGCCCAGGTACGAAACCTTGAGGAGGTTCATGACGGAGTCGTAGCTCAGCCCTTTTCCTGAGGCAGACTGGGATTTGCCTGTGTAAATGGTGAAATCACAAGTGTAGCCAGTGGAGGCATCAGCCAGTACAAACAGCTTGAAGCCCCATTTTGTGGGCTTCCTCTTCATGTACTGCCTGAAGCCGATTCTGGACTTTGAGGCCACCATCCTCTCATCAACTGCAAGATTCTGCCGGGGCTGATAGAAAGACTGACAGGCCAGCAGCAGGGAGTCTAAGAGGGGTCTGAGCCGGGAAAGGGGGTCATATTTTGGGGTGCCTTTTTTCTTATCGTTTTCCCTGTCCTCCTCTGGGTCACTAATGTGCAGTGTCCAGGAAATGGCCTCAAATCTTTTCCGGGTCATGATGGAGCGACAAAAAGGAACATTGTAGGGCACCTGACGACTCCAGTAGTCTCTCATGTTGTGAGATGTTAGAAGCCCCATAAAAATCAAAATTCCCATAAACTGGTACATGTCCTTTATAGACACTGGATTCCACTCATATTTTATACCTTGGGCCCTTCGCTTTTTAGCATTTTTGTTGGTGTTTGTACAAAGGCTCTGTACAACATTCACACTAAAAAAGAGCTGAAACAGATCGAGGGGGGAGTATTTCTTGGAGGTGTCCAGTTGGGCCCCAGGTATCCGTGCTGGACAGAAGCGAAACTGGACAGGTTCCACGTCCTCTTCTTTCTCAGTTTTCCACCTGCCCTCAGGCTCAGAGGCTGTGGGGGGTATTGTTCTGGCAGGCTGAGGGGGCAGGGTTGGAATCAGGCATCCTCTCTTTGTCTGAGGACTGTCAGTACTCTGAGTACACTGACTTGTTGAGGGGATGGGGAGTTCTTCAATGTCCTCACTAAAATAATAGAATGTAAAAACAAAATTTGAAAATAAGAATAACATTTTCATTACACTGAACAACTGGCAATGAGCTTTTAGACAATCTGTATGGCAGAATAGCACCAGTTTCTTTTTTAGCCCCCCTACACCCCCACTTAATTATTAGGTGACAAAGTGTCGGCAATAGTACAACACTCTGAATATGTAATCATCCAACTACAGACCAAGGCCCCAGAGAAAGAGCTAAATCTGCCTGCCTGTAATTGCAAGTATCAATGGTCTGCCCTCTGCACTTTATTGTCAGCTGCCCAAGGAACATGAAATACACAACAATAAAACTTTTTTTTCTTCTTTTTTTAAACCCAACTCCACCCCCCCAACAACTTTGGAGGACTACTTTATTTTTATTTTTTATTTTTTTCACTCTCTCATTTTTTTTATTAGACAATAACAAAAAAGTTACATTCACAAAAAAAGATCATTTAAAAAACTTCCTACTATTCTTAACATCCAGTGCCATTCAAGTATGTCTCTAATGGGCCCTAAACATTCCTATACTCATTACGTTTCCCCAGTAAATTATATACTTCCTACTATTCTTAACATCCAGTGCCATTCAAGTATGTCTCTAATGGGCCCTAAATATTCCTATACTCATTATGTTCCCCCAGTAAATTATATGAAGACTTCAAATTTAACTTGTGATACAACCTCTTAAATCTATTCTTTGTACGATGGTCCTGTACCGTCCAATATTATTTTTTAGCAATAATACAGTCAAAAAAGTATTTTTATATTGAATTGTTACTTTAACCTTTGATAAATCACCAAGGATACATGTAATGGAAGTAAGTGGAATTGAGATATTTAGGTGCTTGAGAGCTTTCCCCACTGTGGAGGTCCAGAATGACTGTATGTGCTGACAATACCATAATAAGTATAATAATGATCCTTTATGTGTGTTACATTTGGAACACATTCCCGTATTATGCTACTTCATCTTTTTCATTTTTTCTAGGGTATAATAGAGTCTATTTAAAATTTTGTACATAAGCAGTTTGTTATGTATAGCTCTAAATGTATAACTAACATTATGCCACACAGTGTCCCAGTTTATTTCCTCTGACCCTACACAGAGATCAGCTATCCACTGAGATGCACACATATCAAAAGACTTGTCTGACCTTGCATTAAGAAGGTTATAAAATGTTTGAGCCTTTACTTGTATATTAGTTTGCAATAGTTTATTGCTGTAATTATCCAGTTCTTGTTTAAATTCACTTAATGGAAAGGTTTTAGACTTTTTAAGTAAACTTTAAAGTTTTTTAGGTACTTTAAAAAATTATTTTACTGTAAGAGATGTTTGATGAGATAATTCAGAAAAGGACAACAATTTGTTATCTCTAATCATATGACCCAATTTACTAACACCTACTTGAATCCATACTGACCAATTAATTGATCAGTATAGTTAGTCTTGGTGATCTAAACAATGGTTGATGTACAGATAGTAAAGCATCATAAGATAAAATTTTATTGCAGCTTTTTAATATTTTAAAAGAAGAACCAATTGTTGTTTCAATTAAAGATTAAGGACATGCCTTGCTGTAATACAAACTTTCTAAGGAGATACCTAGCTCCGATGCTGTATCATGCTCAATTTGTACCCAATCCTTTTCTATTTCTAATTTTAACCACTCCTTTGCTTGTACTGAGCCAAATGCCAAGTAATAATTGTAAAAATTAGGTAGGTCTCGCCCAGCTTTATTTTCTGCTGTCTTTCAAAAGAACAATGAGCTTTTTTCCCTTTCCAGACCAAAGATGTAATCGTTTTATGCAGTACTTCAAACCATTTCTGGTCAATCTCTACTGGTAGCATTCTCAGTGTATAATTTACTTTAGGTAGTACATCTTGACTATTAATTCTATCCCACATGGACATTGGTAAACATTTCCATCTGAATATGTCCCCATTTATTTTATTGAACAAGTCTACTTGTTGCTGAGATTGATTTGTGCACATCTGTTAAAAACAGTATAACATCATCAGCATATAGAGCAATCTTATAGACATATTTATGAACACCTATACCTTTTATCTGTAATGATGCTCTTATTTTGCAGGCTAAAGGTTCAAGTGCTAAATTAAATAGTAGAGGTGAAAGAGGACACCCTTGTGTGGTGCCTCTACTGTATATAAACAAAAAGGTTTGGATACAGCTTTTAGTAACTATAGATGCCCGTGGACTGCAATATAAGATTCCAACCCATTTAATAAAATATGGGCCATAACCAAACAATTACAGCACATTACATAGGTACTTCCATTCAACTCTGTCAAAGCCCTTATCAGCATCCAGTGTGCATATAGCTGATGTTGATTTACTGAGTTAAGCATGATAAATCAAATTAAACAGCTTTCTTTTATTATCTGAAGAATATCTATTTTTCATAAATCCAGTTTGATCTGGATTTATGATTTTTGGTAGCACCTTATATAACTGATTAGCAAGTACTTTAGCTAGAATCTTATTGCCCAAGTTCATAAAGCTTATTGGGTGGTAACTACTGCACAATGATGGATCTTCTTATATACAAGGGTTATTAGAGACTCCCTAAATGATAGTGAAGTCGTATCTGTTAACCACATATTATTAAATGTTTGCAGTAAGATTGTAATAAGTATGGACTGAAATGTCTGGCAGAACTCAGCTGAAATCCATCAGGTAGACGTGATATATTATGAGAAAAGGAAGCAATGGCTTCTCTAACTTCTGTGTCACGATTGTAATCCTTCCCCTTTAAAGGCGCTTCGGCTCTTTCACATTTTAACTGATCATGTGCACCTGCCTCCTATCCAGCCCCCCCTTCTGCTGTCTGCGCAGGGTCCTGAAAAACGTTTTGTGACATTCTGATACAGTGAGAGATGACTCAAGAATGTTTCTATCTTCTGTACTAAGTTTTGGGAACTCTGTATCTTCAAGAAAGCACTGCATATCTTCCAACGTGCTAGAGGCTTCAGATTAATATAGTTTTTCAAAGTAACAAAGGTTGAACTTATTTCTTTCTGATCTTGGGTATTTGACTCATCCATTTTCTTGATGCTGCTAATAGTATTGGGCATACAGTGCTTTTTTAACCTGGCTACAAGCGTTTTCCCTGCTTTTCCCCCCTCTTAACAGAAGATAAGTTGTGCTCTACTTAACGCAAACTCTTTTCTTACTCTTAATAACTCATTATATTGTAGCTGTACTTGCATCAGATTAGCCCAGTCTTGTTCGTAAAATTTTTTGATAATTTTGAGCTGTATAGCCTTCATTTTGGTGAGCAGGCAACCTTCTTTTGACTCCCTTTGCTTTTTATGAAAAGTAGGAATTCTAACGAGTTCTCCCCTTAAACAACACATAAGTGATTCTCAAATAATATTGGGGTCAGAGACAGAATTTAGATTGGTTTCCATAAAATTTTGAACAAACTGCTCTACTTGCCCTTTAATATCAGCCTCTTGTAGTAGGGAGTTATTAATTTTCCATATTCCTAAAAGTGTTATTATGTCAGTTAGTGAAAGTATTAACTGTATATGACTATGATCAGAGATGGTTCTAGGATGAATAACTGCATCCCTAGTGTGTTGCATGATATTTTGAGAAATAAAGAAATAATCAATTTTGGAAAAGGATCTATCAGTGAAGAAAGTAGTCTCTTTCTGAGGGATGGAAGACACTCCATACATCTGATAACTTATGTGTATTGATCAATTTGTGAAGTGCTATGGCTGCTTTGGAAGGTTTTTTCACTTGTTTCCCATTGTTTTCTATGCTAGGATTCATTACTATACATTACTATTACATTACTTGAGGTCTCCTCCAAGAATAATATACATGTTTGCAAACCTTACTAATTCAGCTTCTATCTTTGTAATAAATATTGGGTCATCTAAATTAGGACCATATACATTAACAAAAATCACTAACTTAGAGCTCCATTTACCAGTTAAACAAATCTACCATCTTGATCCTCTATTTTGCTTTTGAGTGAAAAGGGAGAAAGTTTATGAATAAGAATGGCAACCCCACCCTTTTTTGATAAAACTCCAGATCCAAAAGCCTGTCCAACCCAATTTCTACAGATGTGATGCACATCCTCAATTTTCAAATGAGTTTCTTGGAGGAATGTGACTTGTTTTTAACCTCTTCAAACTATTCAATATCTTAAAGCGTTTGGTTATATTATTGGCACCTTTAACAATCCATGTCACAATGTTAAGACAATTATCCATTAAGCATAAAAAAATACAGTGTACGAGTGAAAGTATGTTAAAATGTTGTATATACAGACCTCCAAAATGTTGCCTCCAAAATGCTGTCTCAAGCTCCCTCCCCCCACCTATCCCTTTATGATCATGAAGCTCTCTCAACGCCATTATTATATTTTTCCTCATGCTCTGACACTATAAATCTAAAACCGATTCCTTTAGACGTGTATTTTCATTTAGCAATTTTTGCAATGTCTCAACGAGTGCAACCACTTTCTTTTGAAGTTTAGAGTTTTCATTTTGAAGTTCCTCAACCAATGTATTACTTTAACTTACCGCTTCCTTCTAACTTTTGTAGCAGATCCAATTTCTGGAGCTTTTCAGAAATTGAGGCAACTTTTTCAAGAAGAAAGTTCACATCACGTTCAGACACCATTTTAACTTCCTTGGCTTCACTTGAGCTTAAAATCTCTCGATATGATCGTTTATTTTTACACTCGGATTTACTCATATATGGATACTTATCAATATAGTTCTCCAGACTTTCAATATACCCAATAGTTGCTCCTGGTTAGGTTTAGCCTCCTACCTAAGTCCTAAGTTCTGCTCTATGATGACTTGTTGCAACAAAAACAATTAAACTTTTAAACTTATAATAAACATATTGATGGTGGAGATGACACAATTATAGTTATGAGAAAAAGTCTGTGAACCATTTGGAATTATCTGGATTTCTGCATTAATGGCTCCTAAAATGTGAT